GCATCGCAGTGTTCACAATTCACAACATTCATTTGTACATATACATGATCTAATGTTATATATCGGTTCTGAAATACTACGGAGTTCAGGTTCCAGGAACGAGGTTTATGTAGGTCCCATCAAAATTTTCAACATTCGTTCTGTCAGTACATCATATTTATTTCATGGTCTTATATAATTCTCCGCATCGAAATGAACATCATTTTTTTTTACATAAATATCGTCTGATATTATCTATTGTGTCTGAAATATTACGGAGTTCTAGTACGTTTAATGAGATTAACTTACGACGATTCAAATTTTTCCACATTTATACTGTCAATATATCTTTCCGATCTTAAGTCATTGTATTAGTCTAAGCATCGCTGGATTCCCAATGAACACAATTATTTTGTTGATAAATGTAATGTAATGTTATTTACGAACCTTAAATATTAGGGTTTCCAGTACTTGGAATGACGGGTACGTACGTAAATTCAAAGTTCTCCCCATTCCTTTAGTCAGTATATCATATCGTTATTATCGCCCTATGCCTCTCATCGCGTTTCACAACGAACTGAATTTTTTATTAACATAAATATCATCTAATAGTATCTATCGTATCTTGTAAGTGTTAAGGAGATACGGTAAGTGGAATGAAGTTTACCTGTGTCGAAAATTTCTCATACTCATTCTGTCATTATATCATATTCGTTTTTTTGGACTTATGTTACTCTACGCCTCGCTGATTATAAAATGACCACTATGTTTTGTTCACATAATACTACGTCATGTAGTATTATTTATTGAGCCTGAAACATTACGGAATTCCGATACGTAGAATGAGGTTTACATATGACCATTCAAAGCTTTCCGTATTCATTCTGTCATTATATTATTTCAGTTTTATGTTTCTGCATTAATCTATGCATCACGGAGTTCACAATGAACGTCATTTCTTTGTACTTAAATATCACCTAATATTATTTTGCGAGCCTGAAGTATTACCGTACGAGATTTACATTAAATTATTATATCAAAATTTTTCAAATTCATTCTGTCTATATATTATGCCGATCTTATCGTCTTATATTATTCTACGGATAGCTGGATTCACAATTTTTGCAGCTATTTGTACATAAATATCAAGTAGTATTACTTATCGGACCTGAAATATTATGTTGTTACAGTGCGTTGAATGACGTTTACATATGTCCATTCAAAACTTTCAACATTCATTCTGTAAAATTATCGTATCGATTTTATGGCCTTATAATACTCTACACATCGCGCTGTTCACAATGGACACCTTTTTTGTATACAAATGTCACATAATCATATTTATCGTGCCTGCAATATTAAGGAGTTCCGGGACGTCTAATGAAGTTATATGATCGTTCAAAATTTTCAATATTGACACTGTCAGTATATCATACGGACCTTATGGTCCTATA